ATGTTTGGGGCCTTGCTTTTCTGAGTAACTGAAATGTTTTACGGATTACCTTTTTAAAATAATAGCTTCGGCAACCATTTTGCTTGCATTACTGCATTCCAAAATTCTATGCCTCCATGTCTTTTGATGTCATGACAACTTTGCTAGAGTTTGGAAGAAAAGAATTTGCTATATTAAGAATTGAACTTTACCATGTTTGGCCATACATGGCTTACAGTGTTTCAACTTTTGGAATTCCCTCCATGTTTGTGAAGCAAACTGCTGACCATCTCTGTTAAAGTAACTATCAATCTTGTAAGGTGACACCTCTAGAAACAGATTGCTTCTTAGTTAATTTTTTTTTTCAGTACAATGAGAATTTTGTCTACCAATACCATTTAGTTGAAACATCATATGCAATATATGCAATTCTATCTTTACCATCCTGCCTAATTGTAATTTGTAATAATTCTTATGCTACTCGTATCTTTAGTGAGTAAAGCAGAATATTATACTACATGGCTTTGATACATTACATCAGTGACTCTGTAGACGTGGTCTGGAATCAGATATGTTGAGTGCCAATTGTTCGTTTATCTGATGGAATACTCATGACAAATTTGTAACTAGAGGATCTCTTGTTGCAGGCACTAACTCTGCAAGAGAAGCTAGAAGAAAAAGATGGTGAGCTCCAAAAGCTGAAGCAGGAGCTACACAAGACAACATGGACGGAAGAGGGCAAAACGGATTTAGCACCTGACATGAATGTTAAAGAGGAGGTGACAGAATCCATTGAAGCCACGAACGAACCAGTGGACTGACAAAATTTTGTAGGATATCATTTTTCATTTTTTAAATTTCCTCCATGTTGAACATTGTACATGAGTATTGTTTTTTCATTTATTGGATCTTTATTGGTTTTTATTAGATTATTAGCATCAGAAGCCTTTTTTCGGTGGCCTTCAACCTTATTTATTTTTTGGAGTATGGAGGGTGACTGCCCTTTACTTTTCTGTTAATTTTGTTCGCCACCTTTTTTTGGATTTGTGCGTTTATTTGTTGCTAATGTATTTTGAAATCACAATATTGTTTTACAGGTAGATTGTTTATAGTTCGTTTTGTAAAATTATTTAAATATTATAAAAAATAATATAAAATAAAATTTAAAGACATTTAAATAATTTTACAAAAAGAATTGTATATAGTTTATTTTGTAAAATAATTTTTTATTTTTAAATGTACTAAAAAGAATTGTGTTATTAGCGATTATATTCACGTAGATGAATAATTTTTTAATACTGTTACTATTTATTACATTCCAATTCTCATTGTAGAACTATTTTAATTAATTAATCTAATTAATGGCACCAGTGTTGATGATGCATACGTGTTTATCGTCATATCGTGTATTAATGTCACCACTTTCAGTTATAGGCAACTTTCAAATTCCACAAGAAAGCGACCCTCACGTGTTCACCGACTCTGAGTGGGCTAAGAGTGCCAGCCATTCTCAATGTGCTCATTAGTGCATGAGTTTCCAACTATTGATCCTTAGTGCATGAGTTTTCGTTATTGACCATAAGTGCATGAGTTTTCATGATAGAACATCAAGCGTTAATGGTTATTTTTATTATTATTACATTTGAATTTTACAAGTTGTGTCAAATCTAGAATTTTCTTTATTGATCATTAGTGCATGAGTTTCCAACCATTGATCGTTAGTGCATTTTCATTATTGACCATCAAGTGTTAATGGTTATTTTTTTATTATTACATTTAAATTTTACAACTTGTGTCAAATCTGGAATTTTCTTTTTCATTCATTGTGTCGCACTCTAGTTTATGTAATATCCCCTTTCTCTTCTTACACTTTCGGCGGACTCCCCGAACAGGACCAAAGTTATACTACAATTGATGTATTGGAAAATAGTTAGTATATTTTTTGATATAATATATTTATTAATATTTATTGATTTAGTTGTTAAAATTTATAGTTGAAAGTGTACCTGCGGCCTTAGCCACGATGGAAGTGCATCAATGTCTTTGGCCTCTTTATCAAGGGTTCAAGCTGCCAGTACAGTAGTATTGTAACTATTCCTCTATCCTCAAATTTTCTTTTGATAAAAAAAAAAAAATTTATAGTTGAAAGTTTTTTATTTTAAATTTAAATTTAAAAATAATAATTTTATAATAAATATATTGTGGAGTGCATTGAATTAAATAATAAATTAATTATTTTTTAATAAGAAATAGTGCCTATCAATCTTATCTCTTAAATATTATGAAGAAAATCATTTCAAAATTACGTCTTTCAATAAATTTTTATTGAAAAAGACTAAATTACCTTATTTTTAAAGCATGTATTAAAATATTTTTTAAGCATGTATTAAGGTATTTTTTATTTTTTTTCTCTTAATTTTTTGAAGGTAAAACAAACAACCACTAACTCTTTTTAATAAATAAATGGGTGTTTAAGTCCAATAATAATACTTGCCGACAGTTCTACAAACGAAAATTGAGTAAAGCGTTTAACTAGTGGGATTAGATTGTTTCCTGCTATCGTTATCAAAAGGAAAAAAAAATTCAAATTGATTTGGGAATATGCCATGAATTAAGGACAGTCAAATGTAACCGGTTTCCATTAAGGTAATCATTCATAATGGCTTCAGCAGATTTCCAGCTAATGCTGAGTTTGGCTCGTCCAAATTAGATCACTGTCATCGACCACATCATTCAGGAGCTTACAAGATTTCCATATCGCAGTTTCATCCTTATCAATTTCGAGTACTGTTCCCTCATCCCTTTCACCAACCAACCAATTCATGTTCAACGTACATT